GCAATATTGAAATAAATACTTATTCGAATTCAATAAATTTTTTTCAGTGATATAAAATATAAATATGTTCAATATATCTGTATATTTTATGCAGATATAAAAAAAACAATAAAATATAACATACTTTTTTGTTCACATATGTGTAAAGTATAGGTTTTTAAAAATATAAAAACTGTTTTTATTTACTTTTTTGCACGACATACAATATACATATAATTTGAAATGTTTGTAAGATAATACCTTTTATTCTTTTTAGCTGAACTAGCTGGACTAGTTCAGAAATTATCTCTTTTTTTCCAATGTGAAGTAAAAAAGAAACTCTGAACTAGTGTAGCCTGTTCAGCGCTGAACAAAATAGATCTCTTTTCTTCCAATGTGAACTAGTGCAGCCAATTCAACTAAAAAGACTAGACCTCTCGTCTATACTAGCTACTGAACTATACAGAGTGTTTTTAAAACTATGTCAGAGATTTTAGGGGTGTAGTATTCTAGGACTCAAAATAAGAAAAAAAATTCCTATAAACATGGGGAAAAAAATGTTTTCCCACCGAGTTATAGCTCACTAAAGTTGGGGGAAAAATTGAAAAATGTAACTCTTAGGCTTTTTCACAGATCGTTGAAAAAAATCTTTTTCTCGATCTATGAAATAGTCTTCAAAAAACTGCAGAATGCATTTTTCAATTTTTACGCCTATCTTTAAGGGAGCTATAACTCGGAGGGAAAGCATTTTTGAACCCACGTTTATTGGAACTTTTTTCTTACTTTGACTCCTAAAATACATTCTTAAAATCTCTGACATAATTTTAGAAACATTCTATATATACTATAACCCAAGTAGAACAGAACAGTCAAAATAATGTCAATTTGACGTCATTTTAAATTTTCTGTTCTATTTGGGAATGGAATGTTCACTCAATGTTAATTAAGTAGCCAGTAATCTCGAAAAATTGAAAGAGATAGAGATAGGTATAGTGGCAAACATATCTATCCTTGTTCCTTCTAACTACGTTAGAAAAGGACCACTTCAGTATAGTATATACAGGGTGTATACTCAAATCTTTGAAATAAAAATTCCCTGAGAATTATATAATTACATAATTTTCCAGGTATTTTTGTTCGAAATTCTAAATAAAATTAAAGTATTTTAAATAATATTTAGAATACAATTTGAAATAAGTTTATATGTTATACATAATTTTTTACATAAATGAAGTATTTTTTGATATAATAATGTAATTTAGTATTATATTATAATAAAATATATTTTAATATATACTTTGTATAAAACTAATAAATTTTATATCTTTAAAACTATTTTAAAATCAACGGGGCAATTTTTAAAAAATGCCTAAGTTTAAATCAAATTCCACGGAATTCCCAGAATTTTTCAAGGGTAGAAGAAAATTTCTGAAAATTCCAGGTTTCCAGATTTTTCCAGGAAGTATACACCCTGTATACAGGGTGGTCCTAAAATAGGTTCGGTCAAAATCAGGGATTGGATTGGGCTTATCATAAGAATAAAAAAAGTTCCCATAAACGTTAGTCCTTCAAAAACGCATCCTTCAGGAATTACGACTCATTTAATTATCAATTTTGAAGAATAAATACTTTTATAGTTTTGATCGTACTTACTATAATTTGTGCTTTTTTAATTAATGAATTCAATAAGTAGTTTGATCTGTTGTCACAATTTAAATCTATTATTATTGTTTGGACACGGAGGCAATACTTGAAAATGCGTTTTTGAACTAACGTTTAGAGGAACTTTTCATTCTTATGACGAGCCCAATCCCTGATTTTGACCAACTATTTCAGGATCATCCTGTATATAGTTCAATGATATTAGCACATCAGCTGGAGCCTGCTGAAACGTCAGTTAGAACCGGCGCGCGCGTTCAGCGTTAATCCTAACCTCACTTTCGCAAAACTCGAAATCTATTCGCGATTCTTGAATGCGAGACAATCAATTCCGCGGATTATTTGAAATATGGATGAAAAATGGACCTTCAGACTTACGGTTCGGCGATGACCGGCGCGATCTTTAAACATCGTCGACAGGAAAGACTGATCTTTGCAGACGAGGAGAGGCTTCTGCGGCGCGCTGTTCACGTTCAATATCCTGAACAAAATACACAGAATCACGGCGAACAGGGCTAGTAGAGCAGTAGACATCTTTCCTTAGGTTTAGGTCGTTGGCTTGAAATAAATATCTCTATCTCTCCTTTTCTCCTGCCTTCTGTATCTCCTCAACTTTTTTAACTTCTGTCTTTAAAAGATCGTAGGTAGCTCTTCCAACATCGTTTTATAGTCAATATGTGTCACCAATTTTTTTTACTCTATGAAATTTGTTTTCTTTCTCAGAGACATTAGTCATACAGACTTTAAAAGTTTTTACGAAAGTAGTGTGTCTTTTTACTCATTAATGCTCTTCTTGGTATCTGATTATCTTCTTTTGCAGTTTACAAGAAACGATAAGGTTACGAGTAAGGCTGCAACGGCAATGAACAAATACTATATATGAATCATACGGTTGTAGCCGCGTGATCTGCAAGCAAAAGTGAAATATATGCCGATTAAAATACGAGACACAAATCTGATAATAGACGCATATGACAGGTAGACTGGAAATGCAGAACGACGCAAACGCCGGATTTGTAACGCGAGGTGTGTAAATCAACTGGAAAAAATATCTTGATTTGCATAATTAAAAATATATTACGATATTGTAAAGTGCATCGCCGCCGAATCGCGTATATAAAAATGCGTTTACATATATTATTAAATTGCGATTGTGTATTAAACATCGTTTTGCATTTCCAGTTTAGTCATTTAATCCGCATATATAAGATACGGCGAGAAGACTAACGATAATTATATTATATCGATATGATATGAAAGCTCGGTAATGATATATCGCACGTAGTAAATCAATTTGACGATTCTTACGCGTCTTCCTTTAATTAATCAATATTTATATATATGATTGGATTATCGCTAGTCAAACATTAAAGGAAAAATCTTCAGTACACTTGAAAACGACCAAAATATTAAGGTTGAAACGTTATTTTATTAAATAAATAATAGCCAATATATTGGTTGAGAAATAGTTATTTTTTTTAATTTTTTGACTGACGATAATAAAGAAAGCAATCATAAAAATTGAAATTCAATACACTTGAAAAAGACCAAAATTATGGTCGAAACGCTGTGAGATTTTTTAAATAATTCCAGTATTAGTCGAGAAATATTTTATTCCTTCAATATTTATAATTATTAAGAGCATGTTCCTAATACTTCAAATTGAATAAAAATGGAGATAATGACTATGCAAAAATACAACAATTTGTAACATCCCTAAATTTGACACATTAAAAATTTGCATTTAAATAAATTTCTTTTTTCGAAACTTTACTATATACTCCTCACATTGCGGTGTCAATTATATTCATTCATTCATGCTAATCATAAAAATTGTTCTATTTCTTAAGAAAAATCTTCAAATTTAGTGTTGAAAATTAAAATATCGGATATCAAGATATATATACTTATTGTTAGATGAAGAGTACTCATCAAAATGACATAATCACAATCACCGACGAGATCTCGTCGGTGTCATAAAACTAATTAATTCATTTTGCCGAGTCAATAAGTGTAATTCCTAGGTGCGAGTCCTTCTGACAGCGAATTAATTAACTGGTTACTGATCCTCTATCTTTGTTCTAACATAACTTTAAAAATAATAATAATGACAATTTTTTTCTCAACAAGCAAAAATTAACAAACTTAAACAAACGACACATACAAGCGTAAAGTTGCTGCATTGAGTTTTATAGATGATTCATTCAAAGAGCAACAAGCATTTATATATAGCAAAAAAAAAGTGAACTTCCAAGAGATTTAGAAGTCCTATTCACACCCATCTCACAGTGCCCGAACTATATTGACGACGAAACGAGGGCTCGACAAGAGACAGAGAAGGATTAATGACCCGTATTATTCGCACTCGAATAATTTTTGCTTACCAAATGACGTTGCAGCGAGCAAAATGCGATGGGCGAGGTGCGACAGCTCCATCCGTTTACGAACGCGAGTCGATAGAATACGAGTAATTATATTGTTGCGGCCGGCTCGCCGGCGTTTTTCGTGACGCGACCGACCCGTCCCGACACGCCACGCAAATCACATCTGCTCCCGTCGAGATCCGCCGGACGACTGACATCTGTATGCGTCAGCGATAAACACGCCGCCCAGCAGAACGGAGCGAGTTTCACGTTTCTCCGCATATCAAAAAAATGAAGGATATATATATAAGATACATATTTTTATATGTATATTTTTATTACTTATATATTTTATATCAATATATATTTCTTATCTACATTTTTTTATATTTTATACTAAATATTATTTATATTTTATCTGAATTTTTTAATATCATACAACGCGCGTGACGGCGCGCTTATTTCCGGAGCGTTTTATCTTACTTTTTTGCACGTTTTCTAATTTTTCCTGCATAAAATATAGCTCACGATTAGATTCGTCTTCGAATATTTTCTCCGTTTTGTACTTTCAAATTTCAATTTTATTTATTATAATAAATTAATTTTAAATATATATACATATAATAATTAGACTATTAGACTTCGGATATTATATATAAGATGTAAATTGTATTTGTTACTTTTTGCACATTCTACGAGAGCCTTATTAATAAAAAAAATTATATATATAATATTTTCAACTAATTAATGTTAATTAATTGAACACATAATTTTTTTATATATAATCCGCAATCTACATATAATAAATTTGAGGAAATTTAAAGACCGAAAAATATTTGACGTTTAAGTTTTAAATTATTATTATATTATTATTTTATCGTGATTGAAAATATTTCGGGAAAAAAGAATCATATATATAACTACTCTATGTATGTGTATATATATATTATCTCATAATTTTCACCTTGAGATCCACGACAGGTAAAAGTTAACGAACTGTGTGCACATGTTATAAGGTCAAGGTTTTTCAAGAACATATTACGTATAGATTCGGCGGTCGGTGACTCAAGATTTCTTATACGTGCCACAAATACGATATATTATCGATCAGTTAAAGTATATTTTACATTAAAGTTGCAAAAATTATTGTTAAAATCTCAGTGAAGAAACAATAATCCAGAACATCTCGCTTAAAAAAAAAACAAACATTTTAAGACAAATTATATACCTAAAAGTGAAATTTCGCTCCATTCTACCCAAATAAAAAAATTGACATATCAGTGTAAATTTTTTGTTGGTATGGAGTGTTCTAAATATCTATCTTGTATTGATATTTTAATTCTGAGAAATTGGCTTTAGCGATCGATAAACTTACCTCCATTGATGTAATTGTTACAAGTTGATATGGCAACGAAAAGTGGTACTTATTCCGATATTCGAGTCGTCCCACTCTTCTATGTATGTACAAGAGAGTAACAAAAATTATATAGTGAAAGAACAGAAATCACAAAAGAATCTGTTAATATTACTTTAATGGTAATTATAATCAATATTAAATATACTTATAAAAAAGTGAACATCTATTTAAATAACATTTATTATAATTTGCATATCAAGGTATTAATCGAATAATCCTTAACAATGGCAATGCGTGGCAAAAGCAAGAAAAAGGCCAGCGCGAAAACTAATGGAAAGAACAATGGAAAAAATGCTAAAGGTAACAATGACAACAAGAATAAAGGATCGAAAAAATCAAGAAGAAGCGGTGGCAAAGCACGATTTGCTATGGACATCTTTAATGAGGATGTAATGGAAAATGCCTATTATACGTGTCACAATATCATGGATGTGTTAAAATGCCGAGGTTTTCCGTGGCCAGAAGCTCAGAAAAAAAAGGGAAAAAGAAAGAAATAAATAAATAAATAATTGCACAAACAAATACGCTGGAAATATATGCTTTTACGGAAAAAAAATTTTAACATGATATATATAAATATATATAAATACATATTTATTTTATATTTTAAATCTAAAATATATATTTATATATTACACACATGTAAAGCATATATAAATAATATATCACTTATGTAATATAATGTTTTAGTTCTAATATCGACATACTTCTTTTGTTAAAAGTCTACGACTTTTCTTCTTAGCATTAATTTGTGCGCATATGCACACACAAATGTTATTAAAAATAATCATAAAAAATATTTTCATCATACCTTAACCTAACTTACATTCTATATATTTTTAAACAAAATATTTCAAACTTTAGTTTATACACATGGAAAACAAAAAATCTCTCTAACCAGCTGAAAAATTTGTATCTCTTTTTGTGTATAAGGAACAAAAAAATAATCTACTTTTACATTTCTCTCCTAAACATTAGCTGTCAATGCAAGACGGTTGAAATAATCCTCCGCATCGAATTCGAATTCTTTATCATCTGCGTTAATAACTGGTCCATTAAAGACGCAATGTACCGTCACATGTTCCGCATATGATAAATCTGATAAAAGCTATTAACACAATACAATTAATAAAAATTATGTAACAAAAAATTAGATGAGATTATTACACTTACTTTTGGTGTGAGCAGGAAATATTGAGAACTACCTGGTCTTCCTGTCATTTTAACAAGTAAGTTAAAGACTCGAGTTTCGTTAATTGCATCCATGCCCTAGAAAATAATCGCAAAATATTTAGATTGTAAAAGAAGATATAAATTGTGGTCATGTTTTCTAACAAACCTGATTAATTTCATCCACACAGCGAAATGGTACGCGTGACAATTCTTGCAATGCAATCATATAAATGGCAGTAGTTACAGTTCTTTCGCCACCACTTTGAAAATGTCTTGTTAATTCTTGCAATTCATCTGCATCTCGAAACTTTACTCTGATTGTTAAACCATATTGATCAAAATCCAACTGGAAGCATTAAAATATATATTTAGTCAATGAAAGAATTTTTTTAGTCTGCATGTTCTATATATCATGCTTATAAACTTACAACATCTTCACCACGCGCAAGTGTAACTTCACCAGCACCATCCATCATGGAAAAGAAAGAACTAAAATTCATATTTATTTTTTCAATTAGTTGCTCTAATGGTGGTAACCATTTTTCTTTTAAGTTTGTAATCTCTTTTGTCATTTCTTCTAGTTTAACAGTCTTCTTTTTGATAAACTCAGTCAAGTTTTTAATATTGCTTTGTATCTCTTCGTATTCACGCAATACCTAAGACGAAAAGAGAAAATATTTCTATCATGTAAAAGAAAAGTTATAACACATGTTGAAATAATTTATATATTACACTTACATTTTCGGCATCCACATTTTTCGCCATACAGAAAACTTTTGCTTGAGAGATATTTAATTCCTTATTTATTTCAGCTATAGTAGCTGGCAATTTTTCAAAGGCTTTATTTATGGGCTTAAATGCGTCCTGTTGCGGATTAATATTATCTGTGCTTATCAGTGCTTCATTATACAGTCTTTCAGCTTCCTTTTTTAAAGGTTGAAACTCGTCGTCGTGTTGTTTAAATATCCTCTCTGTAGTTTTCAACGTATCCTTTAATTCTGCAGCATCGTTCTCTTTAATTACTAAAGTTTGTTGCAGTAAGGCTAATGCAAATTTGACCTCATCGTTACTTGTAACACATTTAAAACATTCCTTCAGAATTATATTATATTCTCTAAACATTTGTATTTGTTTCTTTATAATAACCTGTAAAGAATTCATTAAATATAAATGCTGATAATGTAGATTAGACAAGAAAATGTTTATAATATATTGAAAAAAAAACCTTAATCTCCTTAGTGCATGTGGCTTTTATATTATCAATACTCGTGCGCTCTGTCTCCAATTGTTCGATTTTTTTAGCAGCTATGCGTATTCTACCTTGCAATGCCTGAATCTGCTGAATATTTTGTTTGTATTTATTTCTATCGGATCGATATTTACCTAATTCTTTAGTTTCCATGCATATCTTATCTTCTTTCTCTTTAATACTAATCGAGATTTGATTCAATCTTTCTTGAAAATTCTTCAATCTAAGACAAATATAAACCATTATGTTTTAATGTTTTAATTTACTATTATATATGTATTTTTATATTTATACTAAACGAGCATTCCAAATTAAGTAAGCTACCCTTTTTATTTTGACTTAACATGGCTTAAAATTTTCCTTGATCTCTACTTTTTATCCACCAAATTACAAATTATCATCTCTAACAATTTGCAAATGGCATCATGATTTTTCTGAAGACATGTGCTTGATTCTTCTACACTCTACACATTATAGTTGATGTTTTCATGATAAATGATGTTCAACAATAAAAAAAATGCCATTATTGAAATACTGTTTCGTGTATAAATATGATTACAATCATAAAATTTAAAATTGCTTTGTATCTCTTGTAGATTTAATATGGCAGATCCAAAATTTAAAAAGCTATATCAAATTTTAATTAAAACAGATACTTAAATTTCTTTTTTGAAGAAGTCATTATTTTCAATTTTAGTATTCCGACATCACATTTGTATAAATGTGAACATATGAAGTATATTTCTATCGATAAAAACCTCTGAGAAGTGATTTTACTGGTTCAGACTATTTTATTTATAAGTTATATTTGGATAATATAAAGCAGAGATGTCAAGAAAAATTTTAAGCTGTGTTAGGTTAAAATAAAGTGTCTAACCTGTCAAAAAAGGGACTCACTTGACATGGAATATTCGTATTCTATATTTACTAATATATGTATATTATTTAATATACCGTTCTTGAAGTTTCTCTAATTTGACTTTATCTAGGATAATTGATAACAGTCCATTCCCAGTGACTTGTACGATTCTTGTCGACGTTGTACGCGTATATTTAGATATATTTACAGAATAAATGTTGTTTTCTGCAAAGAAAATTTTATTGAATCTATAGTAGAAAATCGTATTTGTAAAATTTGTGAAAAAAAAAATGTACTCACGACTAAAGTAACAGTTTAAGCTGCGAGGTATATGATCTATGTGATTCTCAACTTCATTGTCTCCAACAGGAATATTATTTAAATGATACGTAGAAACTAGATATGTCATTATGATGGGCGGCGCTTCAATAAGCGACGCTAAATAATACTTAAAGCCGAATTTTTGAATGTCTTGCAACGGTATATTCGGTTGCATAATTTTTTTTGAAGCATCAGAATAAACTGCATTAACTTGCAATTTCTGTTGGTCTCTCAGGTACTTCAGTAAAAGATTCATATCCTGTTTGCTCTCGCATGTGAATGCGACCAAATCTCGGAACGGTATTATATTTTCCAAATATTTGGCATACGAGGCGTCTTTTACATTGATGCTAAGTAACATAGGCTCATACACTGCAGCCGAAAATTTATCACGATTCTCTCTTAACCAAAGTACACCTTTATATGCGTCAGTACTCGTTCGTTTTAAGAGTTCTAAACGTTTCATATCAATATTGAAAGACTGCTGTTCTGCTTGGATAGCTACAATCATAATTAATTGAGTTTAATAAACAAGTAAATATTGTGAAATAAGCTGGAAATATTGTAATATGCAAGCTTATTTATACCTCTTATTTCACGGCTGAAGTTTTCCTCTTCGTGTTTTAACGTGTTCTTTTTATTGGTGAGATCATCAATTGTTCTCCTATGTTCTACCATATTATCTTCTATGTTTTGCAATTGTTTCATTAAGCTTTCCTCTGAAACATGATACATATTGTAGTATATATGTATGCATATATATATATAGTGAGGCACCTAAAACAGGCCATCTGAATAACTCTTAGTTTTGGAGATAGAAAAAATGTTTAAAGAAAAATTGTATACTATCGAGGAGGAATCTTGCAGAAGTAAACATTTTTTTCTAGTTGGAGATGCTTACGAGATTTGAATCATCTTTTTTTTTTTAATGGAACTATATATATAAATCGATTAATTGATATAAGAAAAACAATTGTTTTCAAGAAAAAATATGTAGTTGTTAGTTGGAAATTAAACATTTTTTTTTAAAACAACTGTTTACCTTATACCAATCGATTTCTTTCATTATTTTGTGCATTAAAGTATTAAGGTAAAATAATCAGAAAATGAACATTTTACAAGATATTTTATAATTTATGTAAAATTTTGTCAAATTAAAATATGAAATATCTCCAACATAAACCCTTATAACTTTTTATACAGAATATTGCAAAGAATTGATTTATATAAAAAAATATGGTTCCATTTAAAAAAATGAAGATGACCTTCAAAGCACATCCACCTAAAAAAATATGTTCACCTCTGCAAGATTTCCCCCTCAATACCATACAATTTTTATTTCAAGCTTCAATTTTTATTTTTTTCTATCTTCAAAACTGTGAGTTATTTGGGTGACCTGTTTTTGATGTTTCTTTTTTTCATATTTATTTTAACCAATTAAATCATCAATTACAAACCTGTTCCAATTTCGTTAATCATAAGCGAGAAATCATTTTCCAATTTGCTTTTCTGCTGTTGTGCGAGATTAATATCTTGATCTCGAGTCTGTTCTGTTTGAATTTTACGTGAACATATATTCTCAGATTCTTTAATCCTATTTTCGCAATTAAGAATCTCATTTATTATGCTTTTCAATTTTGTATTTTTAGCATTAACTTTATTGTTCTAAAAATAAAACAAATTTGAAATTGTTAATATAGAATAAATTATTGAATCAAATAATTTTTTTAAATATAGTAGTCTTGTCTCTTACTTACATGATCATTTAACGAATTTTTTAATGCTGTTACATCAGACTTCATTCTCTCAAGTTTCTTATTTATTGGCTTTAGTTTAGCATCTATTACCTGCATTTCTTTTGCTGCTGCATCTCTGACTTTCTTAGACTGTTATATAAAATTTTAAATAATGTTATATAAAATTTTAGTAAAAATATAAAATGTTATATAGCACATAAAATTAATTTGTTATATACCTCCACTAATTTTCTGCGCATTTCCTCATATAGCATCCACGCCTTTTTTTGTTTTAGCGTTGTAATTTTTTTCTTTATCAACTTTCTTTCTTTTATTGTACTGACAGTTTGTTGGAGTCCATCGTGCCTTTGAATTTTAGATTCCAATAATCGTTTTTTATTTGTTATATCAAGTTGCAATTCCTTGAAATTAATTCTTTGTTTTTTCAATTCTTGATGATATTCTAAGAGCTTTGGATCTCCAACAGATCTTTCAGTATTTTCTAACAATGCTTGAGCATTCATTTTTGAAAAATCTTGTACTTTATCTTGTGGTAGAAACTGACAAAGATTATCAACCTGCAAAAGACAATAAATGTAATCAAGAAATGTATTTTACATATGTATATCATCGTATATGTATCATTTTATTAAAGATTGTATATAATAATAAAGCGATATATACCTGAATATTAAGACTGGATGTAAATTCATGAACAGCTTTTGCAGATGACAAAGAACCATTAATCATCCATTTAGAAGATCCTTCTTTGGTAAATGTCCTGACTACTACGTGATCTCGTTCATTACCATTCTTCAGACAAATTTCTATCTTTGCAGATTGACATCCATATTTAACGTATTCTCCTATATGTAGTGCCCGTCCAATAATATTAGGTCTGCCACCTAAACCAAGAACTATAGCAGCGACAATGGTAGATTTGCCAGAACCGTTAGGTCCCACAATGACATTAAGATATCTGCTAGGATTCAATATGACGCTGTCATAAGTCCTGTTAGATTGAGAAAAGCATACATTAAATTATAAATTGTACAATAGAATTAATATATATAAGGTGCTTATAAAGTTTGTACCTTTGCCTATAAGAAAAACAATGAAGTAATTAAAACTGTGCACATTTATTAATCTTTTTCTACATATAAATCCTGCAGAATTTTTCCAGTGATGCAAGATATATTGGATACATTGTAAAAATCAACACATCTTTTGAAAAAATGTTAATAGCTTTATTAAAATTTAATAAAATTTATAAAAATTAATTTTATAAATTAGTAAACTTTTTATAAATTTTATTAATTTTCTTAAACATTTTCTTAAAAGAATGTTGGTTTACAATGATTCTATCCGACAAATCTTGCATTGCTGGGAAAAATGTATAATCTTGCAGGATTTATATATAGACAAAAATTAATATAGATATGTAATTTTACTTCATTCTTATAAATTAAATAAAAGTATGAACTGTTGGTATAAATGCCTATAGAATGCATGATGTCATATGATATATGAAAACATTCAGAATAAATAATAGATTAATAAAAAATAAAAATTATGGTTCTTAATTCTTACACAAAATTTTCCAGATATATACGCGTGATAATTCCTTGCTCGATGTTATCATCCATCTTGTTAGGTTAAGTCTAAATATCCAGCAAAGATGAGTGCGGGACGCAATAAATGAAGCTCGCTAATAACAGTTGAGTTTGTAACGATCAAAGTGAGACAACTCTGACTCTTTTTATCATTTGTATATACACGCAGAACTGTTACGTGCCTCTGATCACTTCTAAGACGACGAATTGTTAAGAAAGTGCAGAAACGTGTAGTCGTAGAATTCTCAATTAACCGCCAAATACCGCCAGAGACATCTAGTGATGAGTATGCATCAACTGTTCATAAGAATCTCTCTATTCTGCACATGCAGCTTTGTTCGATTCTTTTTTTTTCCAAAGACTTAATTCCGATTCACATATACATAGGGTGGTCCTGCAATATAGTTAGTCAAAATCAGGGATTTATCAATTCATAGAAAAATTCGATGAATTAAAATTATATTGAAATATAATAAAAATTCGATGAATTAAAATTATGTCGAGCAGACATAATAAACATTCGATAAATTAAAATTATGTCAAGATATATATATAATAATAATTCAAGAATTTTTATTATTAATAAGAATATTTGTAGTTTTTATTATGTTGATACATAATATAAGAATTCAATGAATTAAAATTATGTCGAAACATAATTGACATTCGATGAATTAAAATTATTTCGAGACATAATAAAAAATTCGATGAATTACACAATTATCTTGAGACATAATAAAAATACGATGAATTAGAATTATTTCGAGATATAATAAAAATTCAATGAATTAAAATTATGTCGAGCCATAATAAAAATTCGATGAATTAAAATTATGTCGAGACATAATAAAAATTCGATGAATTAAAATTATGTTAAGATATAATAATAATTCAAGAATTTTTATTATGTTGATACATAATAAGAATTCAATGAATTAAAATTATGTCGAAACATAATTGAAATTCGATGAATTAAAATTATTTCGAGACATAATAAAAATTCGATGAATTACAATTATCTCGAGACATAATAAAAACACGATGAATTAGAATTATGTCGAAATAGAATAAAAATTCGATGAATTAAAATTATGTCGAGACATAATAAAAAGTCGATTAATTAAAATTATGTCAAGACATAATAACAATTCGATGAATTAAAATTATGTCCGAGACATAATAATAATTCAAAAATTTTTATTATGTTGAAACATAATTAAAATTCAATGAATTAAAATTATGTCGTGACATAATTAAAATTCGATGAATTAAAATTATTTTGAGACATAATAAAAATTCGATGAATTAAAATTATGTCGAGACATAATAAAAATACGATGAATTAAAATTATGTCGAGCTATAATAAAAATTCGATGAATTAAAATTAAGTCAAGACATAATAACAATTCGATGAATTAAAATTATGTCAAGTCATAATAATAATTCAAGAATTTTTATTATGTTGAGACATAATTAAAAAAATTCGACGAATTAAAATTATGTCGCGACATAAAACAAATTCTTGAATTATTATTATGTCTCGACAAAATTTTAATTCATCTAATTTTAATATCAGATGTTTAGATGATCAAATGTTACAGATATCCTACTGTTGCAAATAATTTATAACAAACACAAAGTTGTTGAAATAATAAACACCTTATTTCAATTGATTATAAAAATTATTTTATAATGATGTGTATTGATGAACAGTTTTTAGTTTTATTGAGACAATCTTGAAAATTATATGAAAAGAGAAGAATTTAGTAACACAGTTTAGATTTTTTTAAAATTCAACATTATTTTCTCATTCTCCTGTAATTCTGCGCTCTTACACGTATCAAAATATTTTTAAAAATGTTTATATTTAAAAAATATTGATTTAACATTTTAACATATTTTGATAATACTGTAACTGTTTCTCTTCATTATACAATATCATTTTTATTATATAATTTCTTACTATCTAATGATAATTTAAAATAATGTAAATATATTTCAATGTTTCTTTCTAAATATATTTTCAAGGTTGTGTGCTTTGTCCACAAAGACATCACATATCGCATTTTTATGCATAAATTTTTTGTTATACTGCTAATATGATTATTATCGTTTTATTGTATTATAAAGACAAGTAATAAACGTACTATTTTATGTAAAATATTATGCATAAACACGTAGAAATATTTGAAATGGAAATATTTACGTGAGACAGAGAAATTCATAGCACGTGCGTTTTGAGTCAAGTAAATTACGTAAAACGCTTGCGCATAAGTTGAAATTTTGCGCATAAACAATATATTCATTGTATGGAGAACATTCAAATAAGTAGCAACATATGATAAATATTCGTTTATGCTGAATAGCTTTTAAATTTTAATCGCTTTTAAATGAGTTTTTAATGTGCCTTTACATTTCAAACAATGCACGATAATATGCTAATTGCAAAAGAACACATGCATTAAAAAAGTTTTAAAAGCGATCACCCTTATCAGTGGCGTAGCCAGGAAAAAGTTTCGGGGGGAGCTGTATTTTATTTTTGCAGATTTATTTTGTTACTAGAAACACTCAAATTTTTTTTATAAAAAACAGGTGCGCTAAGTTTTTGGCAATAATTTAAACGTTTAAAAAAATTATATGTTTTTAAATATTAAAATTAAACTACAAAATTATTGAAATTATTAAGAATTTCGGGGGGGGGGGGGCTGCAGCCCCCACAGCCCCCCCCCCTGGCTGCGCCACTGACCCTTATGCATCTACATCTGTATATTAGATAAACAAACATATCCGATTATGTAATCTAATAAGCTATAAATTTACGATTATAATGATTTTGTGATTGCATTATTCATATAAATCTTTAACTTAATTTATACTAACAATGATTATTCCAAGTAGTCAACTGACGTCACATTAAACATCAAAATGACGTTATTTTGACGTCTAATGATGTCATTCGACGTCAAAATAACATACAGGGTTTGTCCGGAAAGTAATGCGTCGCATTTTTTTAAAAAAGAATTTATTGATCGCATAGGTAAAACAACTTAAAATTGTTCGAAGTATGACCCTTCTGCGTCAATACATTTTTGCCAACGCGATTTCCATGCGTCATAAGATTTCTGGAACTCCTTGACTGGGATGCTGTTCAGGGAGGCCGTCGAAGTAGCTTGTACGTTGTCAACCGACTCGAGCTGTTGTCCTTTGAGCTCCCTTTTCAGCCGAGGAAATAAAAAAAAGTCCGCCGGGGCCAAACTTTCTTGAGCATTTCAAAAGTTTCCAGCGGCGTCTTGTCCAGCTTCACGCAAAACTTTATCGCATAGCGTTGCTCTATCGTTCTCTCCATCACAAGTTCGACGCGACCACTAAGCAGAGGTTCACAGAATAAGCCGTCCTAACCCTCCAAGCGCATGGAAACAATTGAGCGACCTACCGTTGGAAAGCTAAGGGTACCCCCCTTCCTCCCCAACCGGTCCCATCGCTCTGCGATGTATAGTCGCGTCACAAAAAAATGCGACGCATTACTTTCCGGACAAACCCTGTACGCTTGCTACCTGGACTGTCAATTTTACAATTTACAGGTTTCAGACAAAAGTGAAACATAAAGATAATATACATGATAAGGAATAAAACCTATATAGTGCGTGATGCAAATAATAACACAATCAACTGTAAGGAGCGATCAATCACAAAGTAGATTAAAATAACTCTATAAGGCAATCCTATATAGTTTGGTTGATATATAAAAGAAATGTCTTTCCTTTCATCATCTGTAAATTCTTTAACCAATTTGAATATATCTCGACGATCTTATGAAAAAAAAAAAATGGTTCTTAATTGATCAAAGAATTCATATTTGAAACATCTTACATACATATATGTATAACTATATGTATCTACATATTTAGAATTTTAGAAATACTTTCAATATAAAAGTCTAATACTTTAATTTTATTATTCTATTAATTAATTTTTTATTTTAATTGTTTTTATGTCTCTCATCAAATGAAAGAACATAATCATACTTAAAGTGGATTTAATGTTTAATTTTTAAAAACAACTCGAACAGTTTAATAGAGATATGTTTGTCCTTCACGTTTCTCACTTGTCAACGATAATTTAATGAAGTTTCGTTAAGACGTAATGTAATCGACGCATTAACATAATGATAACACGTTTATGCCATTTCATTCCTTTTGTTGCTAAAATACAAAAAAACCAGTTAGCTCGGAGTAGTTTGTTGTCTATAGATCATAACGTACTTGTTAACAATTTCATCAGTCGAGGGAATACGTCGATTAATTTTAATCTAGATAATAGCATTGTCCTTGCATCATAACTCAGTTTATCAACATTATATTCGTTACGCATACGCCTTTCACGGCGATCTATATCAGTGTTTCTCAAAATATGCGCGGTGCACGTGAACAATAACGTTAACGTTTTAGTGCAATATTATGTACAAATTAAAGATGATTTGTTTCTATGATAGATTCGCGAAAATAATTTGTAACTCACATTAAACCTGTGCAAATTAGGCTAATCAAAAAATATAAATATCAAGAATGGTAGGATATATCACTTTAATCGAGTAAACAACTTTTATATTTAATATTACAACAGAATAGGAACATTAGATCTCGAAGAGATAAGAATTACGTGAATGCATAAAGATGTCATAAGCATCCTGTAAGCGCGATAAGAATGTTGAATATGGAACCAGACGGCCGTTATTAACGGATCTTTGAGAGCTACTGACATGGTCATATGGATATACTGCGCAGCCGATGCTTCCTGTTTCGTGTATACAAGTGATTCGCCTTGTGCGCGATCTAGATGCGCAAGATGATGGGTCGTATGTCACAACAATTACACATCATTACTTTAAGCGCTGCATCCCAGGGGTGACAAGTACCGATCGAAGAAGTACCATGGTTACTTCACGGCTAACAAATGATCCCTGCGTCTTCTGTCTGGCTATATTCGACGCAGGAACGCTCTTCGCAGTTTTAAATTTAAACTCGCCGGACAGACAGATCACAAAGAGTGTCCGGGTCCATTTACGCATTCGTATCACGAACAAGACGAACAAGAATCTACACTCAGCGAGAAGAAATATTCGCAGTTGGGCTTGCATTAATGCTGAAAGGGCATTAATAATGTGATTAATTATTATTTGGAGTCTACGATTCAAATTGTTATTCTCCCATGACACTCCGCTGATCATGTTTCATCCGTCATCGAAGTTTCAAGGACGAGCCAAAAGTAAAGTGCGGAAAAGATGGCGACTGTTCCACGCGACGGATTTTCAATCTCTGATGTTTCCCTGCTTTCTCTTCTGCAAGATTATCGGAATATTTCCATACAAGATCAGCGGCTCGACCTTCGAGATTTCTAGACCGGGCTACATTCTATCAACCGTTGTCATCTGCGTTTTCTGCATTTACGGACTAACGATACTCTATGAGATCGATATCTCCGGAAGGCTCAAATACGAAGGAGTACCTGCGACTCTTCAGGGTAATTGCTACCACTTGTTAGGCAGTTTTATAACGATCGTCACGTACATCCTGACCAAGCCGCGAATGCGCCTGCTTCAAACTGTGCTGGAGATATCTGCAAAACTGCCTCCGGAAACATATGAAAAGCTATCCAGGCTAATCCACGCTAAAGACATCATCGGTTTCATCTTTCTAGTCGGGCAAGCGCCGAAATGCTACTCCACAAATTATCTCGACATTTTGCTCAAAATCTTCGCGATGTACATCACTCTGCTAGTCTTTCAGATGGATATGTTATACATGAATTGCGTTTGTGTATTAAAGGCTTGTTTCAAGAAGATCAACGACAATCTGGCGAACTTGCGGGAACTTGTGGTAAACGATGAACCGCATCTCCTTAGACGTATCTATCATGAACAAAGGAATCCGTTTCTGCTGATGGAGCTCAAAGCTCTGAAAAAACGACATCTGATGGTCAGTGACACGGTACAAATGCTGAACGTGATTTTCAGTCTACAACTCCTCGCCACCATAGTCATGACCTTCGCTGAGATCACTTTCAGTCTATATTTTTATATAGTGGAACGAGAAAATGGTGTACTTCTAGTCAATTTGGACAAACAGATCTGGTACTCGTACTACATCACGTCCATCTTGTATTACTCTACGAAAATATCGTTGATAGTGTGGGCTTGCGAGACCGGCAAGGATCAGGCTCTGGAAATTGGCACTACTGTTCACGAAGTTCTTATTAATACCAACGATAAGCAGATCAAAGACGAGGTAGTACAAAATTAAGTGTATTAATTTATACAGGGTGTAGCTAAAAAAAGGTACACGAAGCACACCATTAGGTGCAGTACAACAAACTAAATCGAAAAATCCTGAGCCATTTTTTTATATAATCTGAGCTTTATTTTTGACGCTATAAATTGTTAAAGTTTGCCAAATAGCGCGTGGCTACAACGGAAAATAGCGTATATACATCTACTAAAGCGGCGTCTACGCTTTTTCCGTTGTAGCCACGCGTTATTTGGCAAACTTTAACATATTACAGCGTCAAAACTAAAGATCAGATTAAAAAATGGCTCAGGACTTTTCGATTTAATTTAGTGTCCTACACCTGATGGTGTGCTTCGTGTACCTTTTTTTAGTTACATTCTGTATATATTCATATGGAAACATTAATACGATTTTATTATTTATTATATTTAATTCTTTGTATTTATAATGACATTTCCAAATTCCAATTCTTAATTTTTAACTATTGTGTGATCTGACATTACAGTTGCAGCTGTTTTCTCTGCAAATACTGCATCGAGAAAATGCATTCTCGGCGAAGGGTCTCAATGTGGATGCGACGCTTCTCACGGCGGTAAGTAATCGATCTTTTTTTTTTATTAATTAAAAATATATCATTCATTTTTGTAATTTTGTTTGTAGATCGTGGGTAGCATCACTACGTACTTATTAATCTTAATACAATTCTTATATACGTCGCGTTCTTGCACCAAAACTTCAACCAATACTACACATATAATTTAATTTAAAAAAAGCACATAATCTCGAACGAAAAAAAGAATGGTTTTAAATATATTGAAAATATTTTTTTTATACATATTGTAGCGAGTAGAATATTTTATCATTCCATGTATTATACTTGTATAGAGTATATATACATTATGTACAGAGGAAATCTTGAACAGTTTCCCCTATATATTATATAATTGCAAAGAAATTTTTAATATGTACATTTTATTTATTTAAATGCACCGTGTGAGACAAAAATAAAAGTTTATATTTCTGGTAAATATTATTTTGAAATCATTAAATATAAGTCATATAATCTAAATTTAACTGTTTTTGCGACAACGAAATAATACAGATATTAATAAACCAATATAATAAAATTTAGAATTCGCGCATTTTTAATTTTTTAAATATATACAAATATGAATATATTTAATATTTCAAATCCTGTCAGGTGACATATCGTACGTTATATATTTTGCAAAAATTGTCAATGTAACTTTCAATAAGAATATCTCTCTTATAAATATAAATAAAGAAATAATTAAACTTTTGTGTTGCAAATTTATTTCATTGATGTCTTGCGGTGGCGCTATTTAGCGATAAATGCAATATCTTCATAGTATCTACAATTATATCTCAATATTCTGTGTTTCATAGAATCTAATTATTGCTGCAAATTGCGACATATATGTACATATATAATTTTCAAACATGTTCTCCATTATCATCGTAGAATTCTTATCACTATAACGAGTAACTTATGGAAATTTTTGATCCTCTCGTTTTTCATAATCGCAAGGTTTCCCCACATTCCTGAAATTTTTACAATAATAAGTGCGTATTTCGCATTTTTGAATAATAATAATAATATATATCTTATTACAACCTTCTCCTTATCTCGTATTTATAAAAAGAAATTAATTAAGTCTTCCGTCTTCAATATCGTATCAGTGCATTGATGCTTCAATAAAATAGATAATAATAAAACGAGTTCACATGAAAACGCATATAAAATAAGAAATAACTTATAATGGGTCGGTACTACCATACGTGCAATAATAATATATGTATTACGTCTGCAACGGTTTTGTATTATTTAATAGCGATAGCGACGACCTCGAAGAGCTGACGTTTTTCATACGGGAGGCACAAAAGGTGTAGCCCAGATCGCGATCTATTGTCGTCAAGGTTAACGTTTTACTGCACGATAATATCCTAATATAGTTGCAAAGGTTAATTTAGACTAAAAGGTTAAATGCGTTAATGAATCCAATTCTACTTTAATGTCGCGACACGAGAATCGTGGCAAATAGACAACAGATGTTTAGTGCGTGTGAGCGGCACAAATACTTCGTGAAGCAGCAAGATAACTCTCGACATATGCACTATATGTGCGCGAATATCAGTCAAGTAAATTATTTTAAGTAATTCGTGATGTTATTAATCTCGCATTGGACATTGGGTTCTCGAATATATTCCGGCAATCTCTGATCTGTGAACAGAATTATATGCATATAGTGTGCAATCAGCATGCTGGTAAAAATATGTATCATTTTTGTCACGAATCTAAAAGCCGATATATATATATATATATATATATATATATATATATATATACATATGTATAAAAATTAAAATGTTAACAAATCAAATAAAATTAGAAAATCGAATCCGTAAAAAGTTTAAGTTAAAAATATATTATATTATATATGTATAATACACAAACAGATAAACAGATTACGAATAAAAAGTTTTCCTATATTGTTAGAAAGACCGAAGATTGTATCAATTTTATATTTTAATTATTCGAGTCGCACGTGTCACTCTAATAACGAACACTTTTAAAAAGAAAAAACAGAATAATCATATTAATTATCTATACAAGATAATGCAATTTTTTTCAAAACAACTTTTTTAATGCTGAAAAAAATTTAATCGATGTATCTTTGCGGCAAATGTTGATTTTTCTCGCTATCAGTAAGGAAAAATCGATTTCAAATTCACTAAATAATCATAAATAAAAAAAATGATTTATCGTTTGATCTAGAACACATCGTGTTGTAGTATGTCGAGCAATCTTATGTAAAATTTAATGTTGGAAAACATCTAGATTTTGTGTATCTGATCGTGAGATACATTCAAATTTCGAAGTGAAGTATCTGTACTTATATCTAGATACAAAACATAGGTCGGTATTTATAATCGGTTCTTATATTATATAAGACCATGTTAAATACAATCGTAAAGGCCGGTATTCATAGTTCGATCTTACATTTAAGATCGTTTTAAGTCTGACCTTAAGACGCCACGAAGCCATTTGATTAGTTGAACAGGATCTTAAGTCAACTTTCGACCAGACTTAAGGCCGGATCTACAACAGGTGTAGCAAGCTCTAAGCTTTAAGAAATTCACCAATCACAGTCAAGAATGAGAGGAATAATCGACTGTAATTGATCAATTTTTGAGGCTTAGAGCTTACTATACCTATTGTAGACCCGGCCTAATTAAGACGATTTTAAATATAATCGGACTATGAATACCGACCTTAGTATCTTAATTGATTTTCAGATACATTTTCACATATTTTTTTAATTGACCAATTCTTTAAATTTTTAAAAGATCAAGATCACGTAAAAACTGCTGATAGTCGACATGGAGGTTGTCTCTTATTTATAAGACAAGCAAAACAATATGGCATCAATAGCACGTTTTCCTTATATAAAATATTTTATAATTTTACAAATTGCAATGTAACATTGGAAAGACAAAAATATGTAACTTAATATTTTAGGAGAAATATATTACAGATTACAGCAATACTTCAAAAATAAAAAAAAAATAATCATTCATTAATTATTAGCTCCTTTATTTACCATTATGCGACGCATGCTGTGCTATCTTTCTCTCTATTTAAGATATATTATGAGAATTATATATAAAGCTTGTAAAAAAGCAACTATTAAAATTAAAATAGCCGAATATCCGATTATTACAGATAAACAAAATGAACTTACGTATACAGTTCCAACGAATTTTTTCTTGTCTTTTTTGGATGTCTGTATTAATATTTCTGCAATTTTTTCATGCTGTATGATAAGATATTAAAATATATAGGTGTATTCAATATTTTATAATATAAAACCTATATACATATATGTATATTTATCTACTTTAAAAAATATATTCAATGTTTGAAACAGGTCTAATTTTAGTTCGTTTAGTCCTTAAAATACGGATATTTTTTGATTGTCTAAAAAGATAACAATAGACATCTTTAAAATGTCCTAAAGACGTCTAAGGCTCTAAGATGGATATTTTAAATACGTATATTTTTAATACGTTTTTAAAATGTCATTGTGCTGTCTGTTGTATCTATCATACTTCTACAGCACGAAATATTACTAAAATATTGCATAAATATTTCAATATTGCGCCATATTACAAATATTGCAGCAATATTGTACAAAAATTATAAGTTAATATTTTATTGGAGACTTGCAAAATATTACTGCTATATTATATAATGCAATCACATATATATGTAAAATTTTTTCCACCACTATATGTGCCGCACGTTATAGACTATCTATCTCGCATTCAAGTTTTAGTCATAAAAATTATGTATATATAAACATGCAAAAAGCGGCTATTAGAACTAATTATTTTTATCAGTTTAATTTTTCTGATACGATCCCAAAACAGGAAATTCAAATATTAAATTGATTGCTCAAAAATCGGACAAATAAATGTCCAAATAAATGAAGAAAATAAGAACTATTCTGCAATATTTTATAAATATTATATTCACATTTGCAGAAATATATCAGCATCATTGATAAAATATTGCACAATATACATAGTTTAGGAATAATGGACATATCGATATTATTGCAAGCTTTCAAAAATAATCCATGCAATATATTCTTATCTTGCAAAACAATATTCTCACAATATTCTATATCATATACTATATATAGCTAGAGATAGATACATTTTTTCACGTGTATCTATATCGTGATATATTTTAATATATTTTTATATCTTATCCATCATTACTATAGTGAAATTATCGCAGCATCTGTGGTATAGCGTATGATATTGTATATATAGTGCATTTATTATATGGATCCAACGTGCGAACTGCATCCGCATCGATCGTCTGCATGACGTATACACAATGTACGGTAAAATTTCGCGCATTAATATTCGCGTGTGTATTGTATAAGCGATTCTTTGAGAGAGAATCAAAGTTCCGTTCTTTTGTCTAATTCTGGCGGCGGCGACGGCACGAGAGAAATAAGAGCAGCGGACGCGGACACGGACGCGCAGCGCGGCGCGTAGATCACGCGATTGCGCGCCGCGTCTGATCGCGCGCCGCGGTCCGCGGCGCCTCTCTTTGACCGATACGCAATTGTCAGTGCCGCGCCGACCGCCGCGCCGAGCGAACGTCAAGAGTTGTTATTCTCGCATGTCCGTCCGTCGCAACTTGCCTCTTGTTGCGAATTGGAATCTTTCCGGAGAACAACAAACCTTGTATACGAACGTGGCGAAAGAGCGGAGAAATAAAAAAAGGAGAAACCGATCAACGTTTCGTTAATGAAGAACATAAACAGAGAATAACGTGTGTGATGATCGAATAGTGCGAAAAAAGTGACCGCGCATACGTATGTATGTAGGACAACTTATTTGTCTCTTTTACATTTATTATAGTGAACACAAAAAGAAAATCGAACTTGTAGAAAGTTTCGAGATTGAATAAAAGGCAAAAGGTGGACTCGCGTGTTCATATTCTCGAAGTTTAGAGGATACAGATTCGCGCCGTGCAGTCTCATACCTGATCGATGCAAAAACGCGGCCTTGCCCGTGGATCTTTAATGCCGCGCCATCGTCGCGCCACTGGCTCCTTTCGTATTCGCATTCACGGTAGCAAACACAGCGACGATAAAGTATCTCTGGGATATAAACAACCAGACACGTAATCGGTGAACCATCGGCGCGAGTGGGATGCAGCGACTTTAATTCGCGCATGAGAGAGCACCATCGATCTACGCTGCAGCTGCGCTTGAAAAGAGGCGCAAGGGCGCTTCTCTCGAGATTCATTTCCCGTCTCCTGACGAAGAGTAAGTTTACCAATATAGTATACTCCGTTCAACGAGAAAACGTGCTACTGTTCGGACAAAAATTCGTCCACTTTCCTCCTTCACTTCTTATTTAATTTGTTAGTGGCTGCAATGAATGGTATCAGGCCCCTGAAGCATTGAACCACTGCATGGTATCTTCCTATTTTGCCCGTCTACGCGCAAATCGATGCACGTTCTCTCATTGAACGGAATATATCCCTCATTTGTTGCTGCGCATTTGAAGTGTAGTGCTTCCCACAGCATGTGTGTACCACGATTGACGAAATTGTTATTGTTACGAACACTTACTACGTTTTTCCTCTAAAATCGATACCGATAACGACCGGTCCTGAGAACTCGGGTTATCATATTTGCTATCTCGTCTAGTTAAACTTCACATCACGTGTAACCGAGCGCCGTGGAATTTTCAGCTGTACGCAGCAAACTGTAATGAAAAAAATCGCTTATCGCGCGAGAAGTTAATTGCCGGATGCTTTTAAAACTTACGGTTATTGTCTTGATATATGTTTATCTATTCATTTAGTTCAGAAATTGACTGTTTTTGTTCGGCGTCTTCGAGTTAAATTAAAGACTTTAAATACGCGCGCTTATTATTTTCTATCCGATATCCTTAAATAATCTCGTACCATTTGTCTCGAATTTTACACAATTTCCAGATTAATATATGCGATTATATTTGCAAACCTAATGTGTCGTAAGAATTTTGTTAAAAAATTATCATTTGGAAAACATGTCGACACATGGACAATAAAACGGAGAAGATTGAGTTCGTGCTATATTTATGTCGGCGCGACTCTCTTGTATCGTCAATCCTACCGAGACGACGTGCCAAGAGCTGTGGATAAAGCACTTGGCGCACTTTGCGGAATTGTTAGGGCACTGTCTTTCTGTCATAAATAAGAGTGCGTGACTAGTCTAATTCATATAAAAGTAACGATGCTCGCCTACTCGAATATTTAAAAACGTCGCTTTTTAACTATACCGAATAAATTATTACCACGTGAAATTTTTAGACACAAATCACAATTCTAAATAAAAAATACATTTTGTATTATCGATTTATTTATTTAAAAATAATTTAAAATTATTTAAAACATTATTTAAAAATCATTTAATATTTAATATTTAATATTTAAAAATTGATTGATAAAGATTTGAGATTTAATTGAAGTTTTACATGCGGAAACCCGCAGCGGAAGTCAGTGAACTTTTTGCAGAATATACGCGACGTGATAGATATGACGTTTCCGTTAGACGTGCTCGACCGCGCAATAGCGTCTTTGAGTTATTACACGGTGTTAACAGAGACTAACTAGAATTTATGAACGCGACAATGAGTCGTCTAGTTGTCGACAATACGCGGCGAATGGTTCTCATACCAGCTCTTGATTTCTGAAGAGAGAAAGAAAGCTGCAATTTTCTATTTCAAACTATTTCCGAACCTCTACTCTAACTCTTTATATGATAATTTTTTAAAATCTATTTGCCTTTTGTTTTCGATTAATATCTCTTTATGTACTCTGTCCATATTATCTTAGCTGCTTGATTAGAGAATTCCAATTAGTGTCACTATTATTTATTTACTGCGAACAAGATTAGAACTGAAAGAATAAAAACTAAGAATATTGTTTTTTTTGATATTTTTAATTGTTTTACAGAATATATTCGATTGCTTTCTTAACTACGATTCTATCCCTGGCAAATAAACGTCACGAGCGACGTCAATCATTATTGGATTCACTTATTACCCGATTCTTATTTATCGTTGCGCAGAACTGATGTGACGTATGTGCGTATATACACAGACAATACAACGGATGCGAAATGTATTGGAAACGCCTACCGGAGAAGGAAACAACTTGTGCTAATATTGTCGTTCGATAAATTCGGCGTGAGCAAATAAGCGATGCTCACGATTGTCATCCAGGCTTACGTATACCTATACATATATTGACCGAGATATTTTAATTTTCCAAGGTTATTTTGTATCCAGTATAAAATATCTAACGTGTAGAAATGAATCGTTATACAGTGTTTCTAAAATTATGTTAGAGATTTTATCGGCGCATTAAGAAAAAAAGATCCTATAAACATGGATCTAAAAATGCTTTTCCTCCGAGTTATATAGTCCTCTAAAGTTGGGTTAAAAATCGAGAAATGTACTATAGCTCTTGGAGACTTTCACATATTGTTGAAATTTTGCACAGTGAAATAATTAGTAGTGAATACTTCATTTTTGTGTGATTTTGACAATTTGATCCGATTTTTAGAGGAAGATATAAAGAGTACTAATTTTCATATTTTATTTTGATCCCTAGAATACGCCCTTAAAATCTCTGACTCAATTTCAGAAACATCCTGTATGTATGGGAATAATTTGACAATAAATGAAAAATGTGCGAGTTTGTGTCAGGCGTTTTGACACGCGTGTATAATGAATTATATTGTTTTCGCGTCGTCTGGATAGCGAATAAACGATTTTTTAAGAGCTCCTCGATGTGTGCACGTATATCTAGACAAATCGTGGTACGTTATGCGCCATTTATCATTGTGCGTCGCATTTATTATCCACCGTGCGGTCGCACACGCGCTATAAAAGCGCGGCGATTAAAAATGTGTGCTTGCGAGAGCGGAGTGTGTTATCCATCTGCACGCGCCTACTTCCAGGGTTAACTGAAAGATTATTGCTTCTTTTTCCCGCACACGAAATTTCACGATCAGTTCTTGGATTCAGTATCTACTTCGTACGTTATACATATGTACGGTCACCATATTTTCTGAGAGAAAGTAAAGGACAAACCTGAAAATTGCAGGACTTTTCAACATGTTTCCAAATCAGTTTGCGATCATATTGGAGATCGACGAGCAAAAAAAATAATTCTGTGATTATCTAGAAGTCTATATGTATTTTTATAGTTTGGAACTGACATGTTAAAAACAACAAATCCTTGGTTTCTTGAATAGGTTCCGGATAAGAAGTTCCAGATAAGAGGTTGTTTTTGTACAAATTCTCATGTTATAATATTAGACATTAAAACGCTATAAAAAATAAAAGACAGAACTTTAAAAATAAAGAACAAAATTGAGTTTTTTTTTAGAAAAATGAATAAATCTAAAGGACAGCTACTTGAAATAAACTGTTGTCTAAAATAAAGGATGGACGGTCACCGTAGTTAAGTCATCACGTTAGTTTTCAAACTACTGCATGGCATCTTTTGAACACAAGTTTGTTATTAGTCAAGGAAGGCAGGTTTAAAGCATATTATTATCGTTATTTATTCTGTTAATAGAAAGTGGAAAATCAGTATTATTTCGTCTATACGATCTGTGATTGGATGTTGAATCTAAAAAGCAAAATGATTTACCAATAAGATCTATTCTATAAGCAGGAAATTTTAGTAACTTACAGTTGAACTTTTTTCTGCTTGAAAAAGATTGATTTTTTTATTACAGTTTCTTTGAATATAAATTTAAAGTAAAAAATTCTGCCGGTTTTAAGTAATTTAAACAAGTCTTTAATAGCCCGTCTATTCACATTTCCACGATTTATCGTGGAGTTTGCGCGAGGCGCTTAAATGATAACATGAGATGGTGCTTTCAATTTAGCAACACAAGTCGACACAAGCATCATTCTATCTTTATTCTTATATAGAATGTAGAACAAAGATAGAATGACGCTTGTGTCGTTTTGTGTTGCTAAATGGAAAGCAATTGATTTCCATCAAGAATTGATTTCCGAAATTATAGCTGACGCGATAATTGCCCTCGCACGATTATGTATATATGGCGAGGAATTGCGAAATAATCTACACGAATCAAACGCGAAGGAATGTGTACCCGCTATATTTATCGAAAATAAAGGAGACGCCCGCGCCTTCATTTTTATCATCGACTGGCTCTTCCCTTCGACATGACTCCGCCTCCGTTTGCCCGTTGTCTATCGCACGACCTTGCCCGTGATAGTCGTCACGATTTCAGTCGATCGGAACTAGTGTCGAACGAATGTGATCCGCTTGGGAAAACATATCGTAATTCAACGCCTTTGTTAGAATTAACCGATTCAATCTTTTCGAGGTCATTTATATATACATATACGACACGCTGCGCCATAACGCAAGTTTAGATAATACAATACTTATTAGCTCGTGAGTTAATTTGCTAAGACGATACCTAGCTTCGAGCAAATAGGTTTCGCACGTGTAACGTAAGTATATGTTTTAAAGCTCACGCGAACGGGAATAATCATTCTAATTTTGTCAACTTGTACCCATTTATATACACGATGAACGCGGGAACGTCTTGGATATATATATATATATATATATATTTATTACACAAGTGGAATTTCGATTTACATCAGCCCGTGATTTGCGTTTCTCTTTTCGCGTTTCTATATCGCTTTCGAATTACGGGCGACGTTGGTATTGTGCGCGGTTTACGCTTCCAATTACGTCGTTATAAGAAGACTTTCCATTTATCTCATATATCTCCGAGTGTTCCGATTGCTACACTTCGGATTGCTTCACTCCTCTCTCGCGGCCCAACTGCGACACAATCGACTCGCAGCTCGGGCTTCGTGCAAAGAGCCTCGACGAAGTTTTTGATTCGTGACGTTACACCTTTCGTTCCGTGGCATTAATTATGCGGGAGGAAAGAGCCCGGGGTATACATATATGCGCAACGAATGCACGTACGTGCGATTCGCACGCAAATGACGACCCCGTTGACATCATGAGACGTGCGTATACTACGCGTTCTTCACTTTCCTCGGCCGTTCCCGATAGGCTGATCAAGACATATGTTCACGCTTAAGCGCCATCAAGAAAATACAATACATAAAAAAAGAAGATAATGCAATCTCACCAATGTAAATACTTATGAGCATAGCCATTATATCCTTCTCTCTCATTGTTCTTCACATTTTTGCTCATTAAAGTTCGCCTATTTTTATAGGTGTTCCTGTCCCTTTATATAGGGCC